CGAGTTTTGAGCAGTGTAGAGTAGGGCTTGTTTGTCATTTCTCCAATCACAAATGCAGACATGATTTTATGTTTACGCGGCGCGATGCAATGCAACACGTAAAAAGACAGTATAAGTCATTATAATCAGTAATTATGTCCCTACTGGATGCAACAAATGCCTCGTTTATAATGGGTTTTAATGCTTTTGTCTCGTTGCTCCGGCCGGGACAAGGCATCACAATATGGTAGGGGCGTAACATTTCCGTCACACGCTTGAGGTATTCGGCCAATCACAACGCACTGGATAGCTGGCCAATCAGAGCACACCTCGACTTTCAGACCGATGAGCTTTGTAAAAAGATGCGTTTCAGAAAGGCGGGGCATAGAGGAGAAACAATAAATGTACAGTATGGGAAAATAATGTTTTTTTTTTTAACCTTAAACCGCATAAACATTTCATTAAACCAAATACACAAAATATTCTTTTTAGCAACATCATATGACCCCTTTAAATATTTTTTTAATCAAATTACTAAAAATAATATGGGAAAATTAATAAATAAAAATAGAAGAAAAAAGCCAACGGGAATGAATTTATATATAAAATATAACTTGGTAATTAATTACTCCGATTAACAAATGCTCATCACTTTATCTACATCTTTTTTAGTATAATAAATTTGAATGTTCACTAACCAGTCTAATGTAAATAAAGGCAGCATAGAAGTCATTTTTGGAAAGTTACTAAAATATTAAACTTTAAAATGATTAAAAACTAAATGTGTTATTTTTTTTTTAAATGCAATCTAAAACATGTTTCATATATAGGTATAGAGTTGTTCTTTAAAGCAGCACTGAAACCATTCTGGATGTTTACTTTTTTTTTTTTATTCATAATAATTGATGCATTGATTTTAGTTAGTAAAAACTATCAAAAACAGTTAAACATAGAAAATAGCATGTTTCATATATAGGTATAGAGTTGTTCTTTAAAGCAGCACTGAAACCATTCTGGATGTTTACTTTTTTTTTTATTCATAATAATTGATGCATTGATTTTAGTTAGTAAAAACTATCAAAAACAGTTAAACATAGAAAATAAATATTCATACAAAGACATAAGATGTTTTGCTAATCACAGAGCACCAGTTAAGGCCTTTTAACAGCAAGTGCCATTGTTTGAAAATGTTCTACTGAATTACTGCTTGCCATTGCCATTGATGGGAAGCTTCTTGAAGTTTTCACACTCCAGGAGGGCTTTGATTTTGGGACGGGCAGCCATCTTATCCACATAGCTCTTGAGAGCTGGGAAGGAGTCCAGAGAGGCAGAGCAAAGGACTTTATGATTCAGCAGAAGGTCGAACAGGTTGTAGTCAGCAAATGAGATCTGAGAGGAGATTTGAAACATGGGTGGCAGTCAGAATTAATGTACTAAATTACATCCGTTACTCTTCTGGTGTTTGTGCTGGATTTCTCACCTGATCACCAACTAGGAATCCAGATTTGCTTTTGGACAGAATAGATTCAAATGGTTTGAGGTGGTTGGGCAGATCTTTGCAGTATGCTTCTTTACCAGTCTCCTACAGATGGGGACACAAAAACAATATCAATGTCTTGGGTAATATCACAAAAAAAAAACTTGATGTTTACCATGCATTTGCACCAAAATGCAATAAATGGTAAAAAATGAATAAAATTAAAAGAAAATAGGAATAAAAAAAAAAAACTGAATGAATTTATATATAAAAAAATATTATTATTTAAATTTAGTAATGATTTACTTATCTGACTCAGACTAGATTTACAGTCACATCAGTACTTACATATTCCTGGTAGATCAGCTTAATGTATTTTAGGCGAAGATCTTCAACTGAATCATTCATCATGTCAATAAGAGAAGCCTCACAGTCCTTTTTTCCATATGCACCTCAATGTGTAAAAGAAAAGATTATAACACTTCTGTATATAATGTATATTGTATTTCATTTTAAAAAGAAAGCATGCATAAACGCAACAAG